GGATGAAATCTTTCATAAAAGTTACTAGTAAAGTGAGAATGCCATTTGCTGAGTTATTTATGAAATGTAGGGAATTCATAGGTAACTGAAAAACCCCATAATATAACATAACATTAGTGGCGCTTCCTTCTTATGAAAAGAAGGAAAAGAGCTTAGGCTATGTTGCCCATTGCTCTTCCGCCATTTGATCATTTAAATCAAAGGTTTTAAATGGTAACTCCCGTGAAAGGTAAGTAATAAATAAATAGATAAGATCTCAAACTGACACCAAATATAAATATATAGTATCAGCAAAAGATCCCATCTCACTGAAAAACCCCAACAACAACTGAGCCCATTAGCGCAGTTATAGAAATACCTTGGTTATGCATTATTAAATTATATTATTAAAATATCCAGTATTATCTACTTTTAACATTATACGTCTACCGCATATGACGTCATTATTTTACATTATATTGCACTTAACTAAAAACATGTGGCGGCTCACTTGAATGTTATTCAATTTTGTGGTCTAGAAAAGTGACGAGCCAGCTGAATTCTATTTCATTGAAGTTTAACAGAAACACTTTTCACATAAGTGTTTCTCAGAATTCCAGTGGTACCAAAATTGCCAAAAACAAGTCTCATTGCGAAACACTGCGAGTGTGGGTTTTTGAATTTTCATATTTAGCGTTAAATCTATTAGCCTAGAATTAATCCTCGGTCCTTAACACTCGGTCCTTAACGCGTTTTTACATTAAAAAGTCTTTTTAAAATTTGTAAAAAAACTATGACTATTCATATATTCCTTTGAAACTGTCTAGAGACAATAGAACTCAAAATTCAAACGCATTTTTTTGACACGTTATTTACAAAGCTTCTTTCCAAACTGCCAATTAACCACGGATGTATTTTTAAATATCTGGTTAGTTTCTAAAAATTTGTTCTTCATTAAACACAGGTTTTAGAACTTTGTTTTAATTAAATTTTTAATACTCAATTTGTTTCCCGTTTTTTATTGCTTATTATTTTGTTGAAGCATTTCAGTTTCAAGAATCATTTGGGAATGAAACTCGAATAAATTTAGAATTTGTTTAACTACCAGTTTTAATTAACCCTTTCGAGACGGCGCGATTTTGTTTAAGACATTCCCTCGGGAAGGAGAGTCGAAAGGAATAATCCTACAAGTCACGGGATGTTGCATCGCTAAGCCTAACATTAGAACAAAAATCATTAAAAAAAGGTTATTTCGCAACCTCATAACTTTTGGTGCCCTTTTAGATTATTGCTTCTAGTATACATTAAAATTAGCCTTTAATAGTTGTTTTTATTTACATTACATGAAAATATATTAAAAACTACTTGCATTAAAATAATTTTTGGATGAGCTATTCAAATTATTCCGAAGTTCTGATTGACTAATACACATTAATGAACTTCAAAATTAATTTAAAAAAGTACAGAAAGACTATATACAAGAAGAAGCAACAAACTCTTTCACTGGAAGTGGAAGACAAGCAGTCATCTCAATCTCAGGCAAATGCTTGTATCCGAATCGAAAATGAATCATCACTCTCACCCATGTCATTAATTGGCTCATTTACTATGTGAGTACATTTTCCCTCTGATAAATAAAGCTTTCTCACCTTTATAAACTAGACTCAAAGCTTTCCAAAAAAAAAAAAAAAAAAAAAAAAAAAAAGGGGGGGGGGGGAAAGCGAAATATATCTAAAAGCAACGTAAAGCGTAACAGATCTTCACACAGTAAGCTTTAAAGACCTTGCAATGTAGAGAAAAGAGGAATAAAAAAAGGATTCGTTGGAATAAAATCAGAGACTCAAATATTTATATCTCGTGGCGAGTTAAAGAGACGAGTCCTGTTTGTTTAAATTATGCTTTCCTTTTCACTCTGAGTTACTCATGTGTTTTTCATTTCGAGTAGAAGGTCAAATCTACATGCATCTCAAATCCTATGGACATGAAATACCATCTTGTGGCAAAATTTATATTTTTTAAAACGTTCCAAGACACCGGCAAAAATGTGTAACGGCCGAGGGTGAACGAGAAAACGGTCTGCTACGCCAACGTGCCGGTCGGGAAAAGAGTGCCCTTTTTTTTCTGGCACATAAGATACGCTGTTGTGGTTACAAATGCTTTTTACAGTATATTTTGGGCTATTTCAGGCTTTATCGAGAATAATTTATGCAGCAAGACGTTTCCATAGCTTCTTTGATGTGCCTAATTCGCTTGCATAAAAAACGCATCAAAAACGTTCCTTTTTAGAAGTTTAGTAAGTAATAGTTTCACGAAAATAAAGGAAACATGTTATTGCAAGGGTAGGCTATAAAATAGGGGTAATATACATCGACATTTCTGAAAACACCTTTATTACCCCATATGTAGAAATATTTACAGTCCTTCAGTATAATTTCCTTCTATGGGTACTACCTTCTGAAACGTTACTGGAAGGTGTCGTCCACTTGTGTTGATGACCACCATAGACAGCACACATATATCCTTCTCACTGTAATATATATGTTCTAAAACTGTAATGGAGTCCTAGAGGTAGTTCTTTAATTTTGGTGAAGACATTACCGTTGCACCTGCTCACATCAGTTAAGTACAGCAGGAATTCCAGTAACTTCCATTGCCCGCTGGCATTATGACTCCGTGCATTGCTACGGAGAAGATGAGATTTATCATCTGACCCCTTATCTACCCTCAGTACTCGGAAGAGAGAAATAACACTTTGATAATGAAGAATAGGATCATCTGCCATGACAGTATGAGGTATCATAATGCAGACACTGTCTCAGATCTCCTACATGATGGCAATGGTGGTATACCGCTCATATATCAGATGATGTGTACAATGTTTTCATTAATTTGGAAGAAGGTTGTAGACATGGCAAGAGATTATATTGAAGGACTGTAAGTGTATGAACTTATACTAACTTATAGTAAAATGTCTTTTATGAAATACGGGCATGTTGCCATTACTTTTTGTCCAACCTCTGCTGTTCATACATTACTACATACTAACCAATATTTACTACATATATATTATATATGTATATTAATTTACTATAGTATGCATTCACACAATAGTTTAATATAATATAACAGTTTATGAATTAATAATAGCGTCTTCGCCAAGGAAGACCTTTGTGGAGACAATTTTATCAAAAATTAATTTGCTAATCACTCGTAAATCTGTGGTCACTAAAATGTTGTTTAATAGCTTAAGTAGTGAATTTTATTTTGAGGGAGATCACTCGCAAATGAATTTATAGAGCGAACAAACCTTCGACTGTGATGTTTGCAAGCTCAATTGTCACAACCCGTTGAACGTCTGCAATAAGCTTGATGAAGCTTTCATTTCAGTCACCTTTTAACTCACGGAACAATAATCTTTGACACAGATGTGAGATCACGTTTGGCTCTATCCAATAGTTTAGCAGAAATTCTTCGTCTTTCTTCTTTCTGTTCATCTGTTAGTCAATGGAGGATGATTCTAACATTAAGTTTCCCATTCCCTAAATCTTCGCGTAAAATCTTTTGACACACACCACGGTTCAAATTTAATTCTTCTAATATCATACGCACAGTTACAAAACAATAACTACCTTACATAATCCACGTTTGCATCGGTATTTGCTACAGACAGCGACCAGCACTGGAATCGTGGGACACTGAATCTCTGCCTTCACGAAACCTTTTGCGCCAGTCGAAAACATGACTTCTTGAAAGTGCATGCTTGAATATACATGTTTAATCATGCTCCACGTTTCACTAGGAGTTTTACCGAGCTTAAGGCAGAACTTAATGTTCACTCTTTGCTCACAGTCAGCATCGATTGTGTCACCTTAACGAATGCGACAGCAATCCGAACAGTGTGTTGCTAAGCACAGCCCTGCCACCTAGTAAGTTTGCGTGGAAACATGGCCAGTATCATTTCAAGTAAGAATACATATCAGGTAACATAAAAATTGTTCCTTTTTAGTACTGAAAACTAAGAAATAATAAAAAAATTGTTCGGGAACTTTTCTGACAAAGGATGTATCAATAAATCATAATCAAGTTTCGCTTTTGGCTCCATTCTTTAAGCAAATTGTTTTCATTATATGCGTTATTATGTAATAATGCTAATCATGGCATCAATGAATAGTTGCTTTATTACATTTACTGTAGTATACGTATATTACACTGAGATTGTGCACATTATATTTAAATAGGTTATCAGTCGCCTAACCGGAATAGCAATTAGCGACTCTGACAGCCGTAACAAAAGGCCCGAATTTGAATCCCGAGGAAGGCATTAATGTTTGTAAATATATAGGGTTTGTACGACATAAGTGCACTCTAAATATGCAGCGAACCGAAAGTCCTCTCGAGACGTTGTTGGTAGAGGAAGAGGGGAGGAAAACTTCGGACCCGTCCCGTCGGGGTGCTCTCCATAAAAATTGGGGAGGAACTGGGAGAGGTCGTACTGTTATCTGTATGGTGCCCAAGGCAGCCCATGACAGGCTTATTGACTCCTTGCTACAATGCATTTCGTGGGCTTGCTTTGATACATCAGAAACTTGACCTGGTGTTACTGTTGATCGGATGGGATAAGTCAGAACAGCGACAACAACAATAAATTAGCATGAAGCCTAGCGTAACTAGAAAATAATACCTCGAGAGAATCTCTTGAAAATAATCTAAAATTTCATTTACTACGAACATTAATTGCAGTTTTAATCATCAGCTTTATTTCTACGAGAATACATAATATTCTTGCAACAGCATAACAGAACAAAATTGTACGAAATGACAAAATGGTTAACATAAATTGCCAATTGGCATCTACTTCGCAGTTGATCAACAGTTTCCTACCTAAGTTTATTATTTAAAACTTTTTAAAGTATAAAGGTACATATGAATCATTATGAACAATTATAGACAACCGTATATTTACAAAGTATAAAAAATTGATTCTTAGTGCAATTTCATTTGTTTTTGTCTTCTATTTACAGGGCGCAAAGCTCGACTTCTGGTGGCATCTGCGTGGGGTTTGTCAGCCCTCTTCTCCATTCCTGCCATCTTTCTCAGCTCAAAGGAGCTAGTGGAGGGCGTTCCCCAATGCTGGATAGATCTTCAACCGTGGCAATGGCAGTTGTACATGACCTTGGTGGCAGTCAGTCTCTTCTTTTTACCAGCTTTCATCATAGCAGCTTGCTACACAGTGATCGTCTACACTATCTGGACCAAAAGTCGACTCATGGGATACCCTAAGTTATCCAAGTCCTCATCAATTGTTGGTGATAGCAAGAAAAGTAAGAATATGTAATGGTAGTTTATATAATTTTTCAAGCCATTTAAATATGCGTAGTATCATTTTAAGGGCGAACCTTGATTTTAAGATACCTTCCTCCCGAAAAGAAAAAGGAATATTGGTAAATCAAATAACCTGATTTTAAATTATCACATATAAACGACGTCAAATAATGGACTGAATGTGTTTCATAGTTTTCTGTACTTAATTCTTCGATTTGGCTATTATAATTTATTAAGGAAATGAAATAAGTTTGATTTAGATATCGGTAAGTATCCTAAAATTTGAGATTTTTCGTGGCTTGACATTAGAGGGTGCTTAGAAGATAAATTATAAATATAATAATAAAAACATAACTATTAAAATCATTAAAAAGAAAATCTGAAGGGTTTTAGATTTTAAATTACGCCCAAAGGGGCGTTTTATAACATTTTGTATAATACCTTTATTTATTAAATATCATGTTCTTGGTGCTCAAACCATAAAATTCAGTTTAAGAGCAATATCGCAAAATAGTTTTAAATTGAGCATATCTTTAGAATTTCCGATAGACAGTTCTACCGCGCTGGAGATAAAAAGGTCTTTTTTCTCCGTATTGCCATTGCTCGCTTTTAATTCGTTGAGTTTGTTACTCAAAATTTCGTTAAAGTTTTACAAAATATGAAATCGATAATAAAACAAATTCCAAATTTCAAATTTGGTCTTCCACATGCCCATATTCGTAGGAGGATTACGTCATTCAAAATTCGATGGCTCTATGTACCGTTATTTTATCACAATGCGAGAAATATACATACATTTATGCATATTCTTCATTATTTATGTTCTTCAAATATAATACAGGGCGATAATATTTGATGCAACAGTTTGAAAAGTGAAATATACATTCAGAGAGATTCGACGCAAAATCGCAAAACGGAAACAATAGTCCCTCAGGGACAAAGCGCTTTTGGATTAATAATTCGAGTTTTATTTTTCCCTTTTGCTATCATTCAGTAATATTCTATTGTGAAGTATTACTATGTAACATTCCTTAATTTACAAAATTGTAACTAAATTTTAGAGCATTTTTAATGCATGCAAACAACGTTTTAGTCAGCTATGTATCGTCACTGCAGCCAACGATTGTTTTCTAGTCTAGGACATGAACGTTATATGATTATGGAGATAACATTTTTGTTTTGAAAAATGAAAAAAAAATGCTTGATGAAAGCATTGAATTGAACAGTCTGCGTCAGATTCTCGTGACTTAATTAACTCTACAAACCTTTTCTAAATCTAATATTCGTTTTCCGATACATAAAGTTGTAAACATTTTCCTTTTGATTTTGTGTTCAAGTTCCTTATATAATAAGAAACTATAAAATTGAGTATTTCGATCAATGATTAGTATTCGGGTGTCGGACCTTTTAAAATTTATTTTTTACAATGTATTTGTACTAAATGTAAAAGTAAGAAACATAAAAATTAAATTATTTTCCAAGATTTGGTTTGAAAATGTGAAAACATGAGTGATTGCTTCATCTAAAACATTTCCCGTTTATAAGTGTATATGCGATCATGAGATTTAAAGTAAACGCCTCATAAAACTTCTATGGACACTACGAGCAGGTGTTTAATTTAAAAGTGGGAGCCTAATTTATACTGTGAGAAGCATATTTGCGTAATCCCTGCACTGCTTCCCAGTTCCGTCTCTTAAATAGTGTTCTTACTATTCAATATCTTACGCCTAGTAACAATTTCTTTGCATAATTTCTATCGATGCGTATTTTAAAGGCATGTTTCATTTTATTAAGAGTTAATTTATATCTGTTTATAGCCGCTTTTTACAAACAGATAATAAAATATACTTGATTGATTGATCATTTATAAGAGTCGTAGTTCAAGCAATAATGTCATGTTATTCTACAGATTATGATTCTACAGAGCCTCATTCGTACAACGTAAAAGTACGAAAAACTTCTTCAGACAGTTTACAGGTTTATGGTGGATAAAATTATTAATACTAATCAATAATAATGGATTTTTGTAGAGTCTGTAAATTTAAATTTTATTTTAGCTATGAAGAAAAATTGCTTACATTAATTGAAGAAAAATTTGTATTTTGTTAAAAATTTCATATTTTAGTTTGACAGCATTTTAAAAGAAGACGGCAATTCATTTAAAAATATTTTTATTTAATATATAAATTGAAATTTACAGGGTAAGTTAATTAACATTTGTACAAATATCATTTTGTCCTAGAATTTTAAAATCTAATTTTTACCGTTTTATTAAAATGCTCAGTGGCCCATTTCTTTAAATGAGGAACTGTTAAAAGAGGCTATTAGTATAATGAGGAGTAACATAATATTTATTTTACGACATTTGTCGTTGCTTAGAGGATAATAATAATACTGCAAAACTCTGAATAGAAGATACATTTTGTTTTCTACATAGAAATAACGTTACGAGTTTTCCTCCGAACTGAGTGTGTAGACTATGCTTGAAGTAACCTCCAGCATATTCTACAGAGGCGGCTAAATATCCATTAAACAGCACACGTTTTCTTCGTACATCTGAGTAAAAATGGCTTTAATTTTGGTCTGTATAAGTAACGACACATTTCAAAGTCTTGCAGGTTATTCACATGAGCACGAGCTTTTAAATAAATGTCCAAATGCAGACGAAGCCAAAGATGGTATATGGTATATTAGATTACGGCAAAGCACTCGAGGGCTATCTGCCTTAAGGGAGGGATGCCTTCGTGGAGGGCTTTTTAAGGGAAACTGGCTCGTATACACGTTACACATGCGGAAAACCACGAAAACACCCATGTAGCCAGCCCGTTCGCGGGATTCGAACCTCGGACCGAACTACCAGTGTTCAGCGACGTTACCGCTCGGCCGCTGGTGGGCTCGAAGCCAAAGAAGAACACTAGTCTTAACTTTTGGAACGCGCCACTTTTATGGTCTTAACTTAACAATATCACTGATCATCATGGATCTGATTGCTCGGGTAGATCGTGTAGTTGCTTCAGTAACTGCTATTTGTTTTATGCTTGATATTGTCCATGCAGAAATTACGTTAAATAAAATAACTGAAATAACAGAACATAATTAAAATGTAAGAAACCAGAGGAGGGAATAAGCGTTTAAAAGTTATTTTTATCCTTTGACTCTAATAAACACTATTTGTACTTTTAAGTGCAAGGATGTGACCTTCATAAGTTCTGAATCTTGATGCCATTTTATTTTTCTTAAATTTTGCATACATATATTATACAATTTTGTCACTTTTCTCTTAATAGAGCTTACTATTTGTACCTGCAGGATTTAAAATTGCTCTGAACAACAAAAGCAGATGTAATATAAATAGAAATTAATTTTATATCTAAGACATATAGGTAATAATATTACATTTAAGACTGCCCTATAAGACAAAATGCTTACAGGACATATAAGAAAAAAGTAAAATAAATTAAATAAAACCTTACCATTTAATAAACTTTATACTTATTTTTATTATAAACCTTACTATTTAAAACACTTCTAAGAAATTTCTATCATAATACGTTCATAAGTCATCCATCATAATACGTTATAATATACGCTGTCATTCTTGGTTGCTTTGAAAGAACGTCTGTTTTGGCGTCTTCCACAGACTTTTAGTCGAACACTTTAGGATGGATTGAACAGGTTAAAAGTATTGATCCCACAGAATCCTGTTGAAAAAAAAAATCATATTCAGAGAGTGAGAAATCTAGAAAATAATGCGCTTAGGTCATGGCAAAAACCTATATCTGATCAAAATACCAAAGCCTCTTGCGAAATGTACTATTCCAGGTTGTAAACTTTCATACGTGTTATCTATAGAGAGATACTGTAATTCTTGCTGACACCCATTACTGCATAATGAAAGTTATATGCACATAGTTACAATATTCCTAAGAAAATCTGAATTGGAATAATTCGAATTAGTGTTCGTATAAAGATTGAAATAAAATTGTCTAATTTTGATACTAAAAGCTTTAAATGTATATTTAGCGTGTAGGCTTAGTAAGAGAAGGAAATTAGTATGACTGTTAAAGATTTAAACTGATAAGTGTAATTGCTTTGTTAGATAAGTAACACAAAATATGGAGGCAATTTACGCAAAATATCAAAGCTTAGCGCAGCATAATTCGTAATTTTACTAATCTGTAATTATTATCCGTTGCGAAATTCATAGTTATTTCATATTGCCTTTCCTCTTTGCAATACAAAAATAGCTTCCAAATGGTAACCGATGCAGAAAAGAGTTTTGAATAGAATTAATGCCAAGCGGATCTTTCAGTGGCACTAATTATATCATAATGTCGACACTAAATGAAAGATCCTAATTCTTTTCAGAACGATCTATTTCTTAAAAGCTCTAAGCAAATTATAATAGAGAAAGGGAATAAATTCAACCACTCTTTCAGAAAGTACAACGACATTTACGATAAAAACTCCTTTGGCGAATTGCTGATAAGACGCCAACTATCTTTCAACCTTAGGCTCAGGTTTTGAGAACCGATAATGGAAGAAATAAATGTCTCGAATTATACGGTTGGAATTGTTCGTTGTGCTAGAGATTGTATTTTGATGAGAAAGATACATTATCAATGAAAAGTTAGAGATTTAACGTTACGGGAATGTGAAGCGGAATTCTGGAATCAAGAGCACTAAAGATATAAGGAATGTAAAATCGACTAATGATAAGATGCTAATAAAGACACTTTCAGGCCTATAGCGCCTAGCAAATGTTTTCTTACGCCATGACTCCAGACAGGATGACAGACGAGCCGTGTGGTACGAACTAATGCTAAAACTGGAATCGAAAAATGTTATCGTTAGTGGTCACCACAAAGACCGTAAGCTGATCTTACGAAATCAAATCCCAGAATTGAGTTGTCAAGGTTATGGTTATTCCTAGGTACGACAGTGATGGCGTTACCTGTAGCATACAAGAGCAGCCAGTCTTTATGAAGTTTACTGTTTA